GCCTATTTCAGTCCAGCTTACCTTAGCCACCGACGAGGGGAGAACAGGCAGACATAATATATATTCACATCGAGCCCCAGCGCGAGCGGCAGGCGAGAAATCTCCCCTCCTTGAAGGCAAAGGGAAAAAAGACCACTGTTTAAAGCTGCGTCGCCCCCCCCACCCCCAATAGCCACCCCGGCTGGGGAGCCCGAGGGGCAGACCGGCCGGAGGAGCCGCGCGGCGTCCGCTTCAATTCACTCGGCTTAGGAGCGGGGGTGCGCAGGAGGGAGGGGGTGGGGGAGCGGGAAAAAAAATAGAAGAAGACCGAAAGATGCTCGGGCAGCTCAGCTCGCGGAGAATCCAGCTCCGGGCTCCGGCACGGCCAAGCCGCCACAGTGTGGTTGCCCTATAAGACTGGTACGCCCTACTCTCCGTAACAATGGCCTCCGCTTTTGCACAGGGAAAAAAACCACACAGACACACACACACTCACTCACTCACTCACTCACACACACAAGCTCACACACACACCCCCACCTCTCCCCCTTTAGCGAGCTTAGATGCCTGATAAGGAAAGAAGGTGATGGTGGTGATGGGGGAGGAGGGATTTTTAAATATCCCCCCCGCCCCCGGCAAAAAAAAGAAAAAAAGAGTGAGAAAGAAAAGAAGGTAGAGATTTTGACTTCTGTTTTTGCTTTTTAAGAACAGGTAAGTTTTTAAATTGAGGGTTTTGGCTGGGGAGGAAAAGGAGCGCAAAGACTCGGCAAAGCCCGTGTAGTTCACAGCTCCTCTGCCCCATCACTAATAAACCCTTTTTAGTCTTATTGGGGAAGTCGCTTGGGAGGCCTAGTCAAAGGCCCTGGCCTCCCCGGGGTGGGGTGGGGGTGCTGGGTGCTCCTCCGCATTCATTCCAAGTGAGAACACTCTTTTTTTTCCCAAGTTGCTTCTCTCCTCCGGGACTGGTGGCGGGTCTCCCGCCCTCCCGCTCTGGCTCCCTCCTTCTGAGTCTCCCATTCTCTGTCTCTTCTCTTCCCTACACCCTCTCTATTCCTCCTCTCACCCGGCAAATCTCCAGGCCCAGTTTCCAACTGGTAGAGGGGAAGGCCAGACCTTTTTTTTTTAACACCCCCCCTCCCCCCATTTTTGAGAACAGACAACAAGCGGTGAGTGATTATTTTAAAAATCCAGACCATCTTGCAGGGGGAGGGGGATTGAGGAGAGGGTGACAAAAGGAGGACTCTGTGTTTAGCTTGAGCTCCAGACTCGGTTGGCAATAGAAGCTGTAAGAACTTGACTAAGAAGTTTCTGTTAAGATTCTCACCTCTAGATAGGCAGAAGAAGCTAAGAGGTGATAAGGACATTTGTACTTCTAAGATTAGAAGAACCAGCAAAATGGCTTAATTTTAAATGCACTGGCAGAAGAGATGGAGGATGGTTATTTTTATTATTATTCAGAACAAACTTGTTTATTTCTCTTAGGTCTGCAAGATTTTAGGATTCTTGGCACAAGTGAGGACTACAAAAGCTAAACTTTTCTTAGGGTGTATTTGAGAAGGACAGGAAAAGGCAGGAGGCCTGTAGGAGGAAGCCAGGAGGCAAGAATGTAGGTGTCTGCAGATTTGGGGCTGGGGTGGGGGAAGAGCCATTCCTGGTGGAGGAACAAGACAAAAAGAGCATCAGGACATTTCCAAAAGCAGGAGTGTTTGCAACTGCCCAACTGCTGACTCCGGACTTAGGGGGTAAAATAGAAGGCCGACAGTCTGCCTTTTCTACAAAGGCAGCTTGGAAAACTTGTTCTCTTAACTCCACATAGACAGAGCCAGCCACTACCCTGTGACCTCCTGGTTAGAATCTTTGGCTTTTACCTTCTCCCATCTGGATGAACCAGGAGAGATGAGACTGGGAGAACAAAGGTGAGAGATGGTTTCCAGCTATTGTCTCCCCTCCAGGAGAGGGTGGCTGTGTCTAGCAAAGCCTCCTTCACACCCTCTAGCAGCTCACTCAGCTTTGGGCTGAGAAAGGGTCCTGCTCTCTTAGGGAGTGGTCCCTGGCTTTCTCTGGCCCTCACTTCTTCCAGGCCCACCAAGTCAAGCTTCGTGGTCTGAAGCAGTTTCCTGGGGCCCACCTGAATGAGGGTGGATGTGGGGACCCATGGCCTCCCTACCTTCCAGCAATAAGAACTGCCTGCCTGAAGAGCCTCCCACTCTGATGTCCAGAGGATCCTACCACCTGCCTAGAGAGCTGGGAGTTGGTGGCTGAGGGAAGGGTGGTGGGGAGGTGAAGAAGGAAGGTGGAAGCCATTTTTCTGTATTTATTAGTATCAAGGAAAGAAAATGCCCAAGTCAGATCCAGTGTTGGGGTTCAAGCCAGGATCCTCAGAGAGAGCAGTTAGGGCTGCCTGAGTAGTGTCTGCAGAGTCTGTCCTGAGATCTGGTTAGAGACCTGCTAGGTTGGACCCTATGTTTGGGGCTGGTGGGTTGCCCAGGGAGGCTCCCAAAGGTTTAAGGGAACAGCACCTCTGTGTCTTTTCCTTTTCAAAGTTAAAGTCAAGAAGGCATCTCAGACCCTCCAGCTCGCCTAGCTGTTGCTACCTTTAGCTAGGGAGGGTCTCTAGGAAATTAAGAGAAGAGGTCCTGGAAGCCTGTGGGACTGCATAGCTTTGCCTCAAGGAATAAAAAGAGTACCCAGAGGGCACCCAGCCAGCTGCGGGCCTGCAGGAGGGTTGGCCTGGAGCTGAGCCGAGGGTAGAGACAGCAGTGGACCCCTCCCCTCCCAGAGCCTCAGCTCATGTGGTCCCTTCTGGCTATACAAGGAGGTGAGGTGCAGTGGTGTGGGAGTGAAAAGGAGGACTGGGAACAAGAAAGCTAACGTGAAGAAAAATCTCAGAGGATAAGCACCCACAAATGCGGTAGGAGATGGAGTGGGGGGCTTCTTTATTCATTCTGAGAGTAGAGTCAATTTGAAATGCTTGCGATGCAATTAGATCCCAGTTTGTTTTCTTTCTTGCCTTTTTATTCCTTTTCTTGGAGATTTGTGGTTCACTGATTGCCCCTGTTTGGGGCTGGGAGGGTCAGGAGAAGAGAGTAGAACGGGCAACCCTAGGGCACCCAATTTGTTTGAGGTGTCGCTTCAGGCTAGGGACCCTCCAAACTTCAGGGGACAAAGGAGGGGCAGTGAGGGGCCTGGGCAGGGACCTTAGGGCGGGAAACACCATAAGCGTCTGAGAGAAGACATTGGGGTCTGGACAGTGAATTCGTGATTTAGGGGCAGACTAGAGAGAGGAGAGGGAACAGTCTTTTCCTGGATTCAATGGAGGAAACTTGAGCAACTTACCAAGTGTGGGAGAGAGAAATTGAAAAAGAAAAATTGAAAGATTAAGACATAGAAACCTTAGTGTAAGCTAATAAGGGCAGGAATTAATAATAAAGGTAAAAATTAGAGAAAATGTCCCCCTCTCTGATTCAGTTTCCCCAGAGCCAGAGCACCCGGCACTCCCCTCCCCACCTCCTAATCCGTACCCAGTACCCGGGAATCTGGAGCCCTTAAAACCCCCTTTAGTGGTCACTGGCCGCCCACTCTTCCAGGCCTTAGGGGGATCATGTCTGTTTCCCTCTCCCCTCAAAAAACCATCAAAGAGCAAACGAAAATTCTCCTCTCAATAAGGACAAACTGGCTGGCTCCTTTAAAATCGATTTCTGATATCAGCCTTGGGACGACCAAGGATCCTGCCCCCAGCTAAGGCAGCCCCAGATTTGCCTGGCCTTCCGGGCTCACGGAGAAGCCAGGACCTGGGAGTCCAGGGTGAGGCGTTTAGCGATCTCTTTCATTCTGGTCCTTTCTGGGTTCCCCGTCCTACACTCTTCCAGCTTCACTGACAAACTTTGTGGCTGTGGCAGAGTCCTGAAAAGTTCGCACATGCACCCGAATCTCCATCTCTTTGAAATATTAATAAAGATTTAAAAGCTAGGGGTTGTAAAATGGGAATTGCTGCTGAAGACTGCGCTCGGTTTCTGGATCCCTAACTCCCACCGCTGTAAGATGCCTTAGCTGGAAGGAACAAAGGGGCGGAGAGGAAAGAAGCCCCGCACCTCTGTAGACCCGGCTTGGCAGAAGCGGAGATGGAAAGAAGAAAAAGGCCGCTAAGGTTGGAGAAGAAAAACCCAAGCTGTACTCCTCCCCCACACCAGGCGTCAGAGCGGGAAAAGGAGGCAGGACAAAACAGGGCGGCCACGAGGGTTTAAAAAGTCTGCTCCGAGACCACGGAGGCCGCCCCAACGCGCTGATAAGCGGATGGTGGTGCTGTGGGCCAAGTCAGGGCAGGTGGGCACCTTGTTGGCATCTGAGCCCCTCTGAATCTGGGGTCTACGTCATTTAGCTCAGTCCCGGACTGGCAACCCCCACCCCAGAGGATGTAGAGACAAAGGTGGACAGAGTGGAGAAGGCAAGAGGGAGAATCTTGGACAGCTTGGGGTGGGGTGGGGGAGTTGCTGGGGAAGGAAGGGAGAATTTAGCAAGAGAGGAACAGGGGCCCAGCCTGCTGAGAGGGACTGTGCAGGTCTCTCCTGACAGATTGGATGTCTCTCTCCCCGTGACCTCTGTTTAGCAGACAATAACTCACCGGATTAATGACCAATCCGCGGAAGGCCTCCCAAACTGCCTCCAAATATAAAACTCCAAAGTCAGAATGGGATAGGGCCAGAGTCAGGGCCTGCTGGCCCTTTTGTTTATTCCCTTTCTTCTCTCAAAATAGAGTTTGAGGTAAGACTTAAAGAAGTGGATTACCTGGCCAGAGACTGATTTCCAGAACCCCAAAGATGAATTTGTTTCCCATCTCTTCCATTTTATCCATCAGAATTCATATCCCTGACCATACTTTTCAAGGTAGTCTAGAAAATTCCCCTCCTCTGCTAGCCTCATGTCCCTGGTCCTACAAGAAATGTCCCTTCTCACAACCATGCAACCTTTGAGAAGTCCCCACTTCTTTTGAATTTTGTCTTTTTTTCCCCTACTTAGGGGAAGATATGGAAAATAAAATAGGACAGGGGCCATCTACCTTGCAGGTCTTCTGTCCTGGCTGCCCTGAGAGGAGACCTGGTATAGTGCTGTGGTACCCTGTGTGTGCCCTCT